TATATTTATCCTTTCATAACCGTAGATAAAATGGCCCTCCTTTTCACATTGTCAAATTTTATTTTACAGAAAAAAGCACTTTGAAATTTTCTAATGCAAAATATTATTCATTTATTTTTTGAGATAATTCAAAAAAATGAATTATCAATTTTATATGGTTTTACTAAGCATGTAATAGAAAGTCCGTAAGCCTGAGGTATTTTTTTTTTGTATTAAAATTTTGAAAGTTACTGAAAATATTAATGAAAAGAAGTTCATGGACAATTTTTTAAGTGTTTACACCTTGTTCGCAAACTTCACAACCTTCCAGTCAAGGACATACCTAAGGACTTTAACGGGCTGCCTACAAATTAACATATGCAGATATGTGCAGGATCCATTAGATCAGCCCTCGTATACGACAGCTTTGAAGACATTCATAAACGCCATAAATTACGCGGTCGCGGAATTCAGCATGAATGACGTACTTGGAGGTCGCAGACAGAAGAAAACCGGCCGCGGAAAACAAGAGTAAAAAAATTTATCATATATTTTGGAAAGGAGATTTTCTGAGAAAAGTTAAATAATAATGATAATAATTTTTGCCTTGAGATATGTCACAATGGATAGCTTATTCCTCAAATACGATACAATAAAATGTTTATCACATAAGCAAAAAATATTTTTAATTTTGCGATTTTTTATTACAAAATATTTCGAAAATGTTTACTTCTTACATCTTGGATCAATAAAAACTACGAAGAGTTGTGTGAACTTACAAAACAAATTAGAATTGAACAAATATATCTAGAGAATTGTATGTTGACAGTAATTTTCTGTGATGAGTACCTCGTTTCTGTAATTTTCTCGAATCGAGAAAGAACTTAAAATATAATAGTCTTCCAGTTTTTAACAGTGTGACTCAGATTATTTTTAAACTGTTCTCCTTAAAATTTAATAAGAACTTTTTAAATTTCTTGTATTCACCCTGTTTTACACAAGATGATCATGATGATCGACAGATTTTCTCGATGCGAGAATTACAAAAAATTATGACATAAAGTAGTGTCCCGGTATGAAACATTAACCATTTTTTAAAATGAAATCAATCCTTTATATATTTAAAAGATGAAGAATTGAAAAATTTTATTTTTGTGCTTGATTGTAGACGTCCCATTTTTAAATGATAACTAATACAGAATTAATTATTTTTGTCGGAACACTTTAGGTTTTATTTAAAAATGTCACCGAAGAGTGCTACAAGTGCGAAAAAGAAAAATATGAGCACACCAGAAGTTAAGAAATGTCGATCGTGTTTGCTTTCGGAGAGAGATGCCAGAACTATGGAGCGTTTATTGACATCCAAACAGGTAAAAATACAAAAAACAGGCTATAGTCGCCATAAATAAGTCCTTAAGTGAATGGGCAGTCCGGGGAGCTCTTCGTAGAATTGGCCTTATATCAGCCGTAAAGCAGAAAACACCAGCGTTATCAGAAAAAAGTGTGAAGGATCGTCTTAAATTTAGCAAGAACCACAAAAATTGGAGTGTTGATGACTGGAAAAGGGTTATATGGTCCGATGAAGGGTTGTATGGTCCGATGAAACGAAAACTAATCGTTTTCAGTCTGATGGCAAGGAATATTACTGGCACCGCCCTTATGAAAGCTTAAAAAAGCACCAAGTAAAACAAAAGAGTGAAACAAGCGGGTGGTAGTCTGATTGTGTGGGCTTGTTTCACTTGGTAGAATCTCGGTTCTTCAGTAAAATTAGATGCTATAATGAAAAAGGAGGATTATTTGAGCATTTTCAATCCAATATTCCAGATTTTGTGGAAGAATGTGCATATCCAGAGTCAGAGGTTATACTCCAACAGGATGGGGATCCGAAGCATACGGCAAAAATCGTAAAGAATTGGCTTTCAGCGCAGAATTTTCAAACGATGCAATAGCCAACTCAATGTCCGGAAATCAATCCAATTGAAAATTTATGGGCTTTGTTAAAAAAACGTCTTGCGCAATTCGATAATGCGCCAAGAAATCTTAAAGAACTTTGGTCGAGAATACAAACGGAGTGGTCTAGTATTCCGCACCGGACCATTGAGACCTTGGTCAAAAGTACGCCTAAACGTATGAAAAGTGTCATAAAAGCAAAAGGACTTTGCACAAAATATTAAAAATCAAAATTTTTTTAAAACGTGCAAAACTGGATACTTCGACTTTATTTATAAATATGTTTCAATCTTTAGTAAGTAGTGTCCGTCTGTATGTTTGTTGAAATAATTTTTGTGGAGACCCCATTTTTTAAATATAATCCCTGAGAATAAAAGTGCGGAACAACTTTAGTTATATTTAAAATATGTTATATTGAATTTTTGATCATTTAACATGTTCAGTTAAATATTTGAAAGTAGCTTGGTTGTATGTTGTGTACGTCAAGTTTATATTAGATTCTATACCTATTTATTTTCAATGGCCCATGTATACACATAAATAAGCAAAGTTTAAATTATTTCGGTTTTATTTTTACTTCACTACTCATCACGTAAATATTTCGTTGTTGTCTGTTACGATGATGGTAATTTTATATGGCCTACTTTCACTTTCATTTTCTATTTTATCACCACAGTTTTTACTTGTTGTATTTTCTTTCTCAAATGAATAAAATGAAAAGTAACAAAAATTGAAAACGAAAGTATGAATAAAAATTTACTCAAAACAAATTCAACAGCAGACAATTAAGTGTTAGGTTCGTATTCGAAACATAGACCCAATAATTGAAGAAAATAAAATATAGATTTTATATACACACATATGTACCTATCCCGTTGGATTTTATAAGTTACATAGTATATTTTATTCGTTTAATACATACTTTATTTAAATAGAAATGAACCAAAAACATAAGAAATATTTGTCAAATAAACCTAAAGTTTACAAAGTAAGAATTTAAAGCTATTTTTGGCTTTAATAAAACATTTTTAACCCCAAAAATCTTCATGTACGGCAATTCAGAAAACTACTGAAATTTAACATACCCATAGTACTTTGGTTCTTTAAATGTGCACTTAAATTTAATGAAGGTCTTCCTTCGAAGTGGCTTATGGAACATTTATGTGCAATTACAAAAAAATATATTATTTAATATTTTTGAACTAGCAGCAAAATTGATGATACGTTATTGAAAGCGTATCTTTGCGTGAAACATGAAAAAATTGAAAAACCTTAAATTAGGACCTATTATCCTTTGACTCATCCCCAAATATATAAGAATAATTTATTATTCAATACATATCAATACCAAACGGCCATAACTAACCAAAAATTCTAAATCGATTGTATTGCATCAAAACAAATATCCACACAAAAAATTGGACTCCTCCAACCAAAATTAGCGATTTTATTGACAAAAAACAAAAGGCCTTATCTACAAAGGCAATATTAAAGGTAAAAAGTCCAATTTATCCATTTTATATATGCCATTGTCAACTATTATAACAACTGATAGGTTTCACTATTAAACAATTTGTTTATTTACTACGAATAAATCGCGTTGATAGAAACAAACTTTTCCTGTAAAATTTTAAAAATGTTAGATAGGGCCGTTTGCGTCTGGATTTTTTTCTTTAAATTCTTTCTCTTTCCCACTCTCTTGTTTTCAATGTAATTATTTTTATGGTTAAGGTTGGTTTAATGTTGAAATCCAAAACTAAATTTTTAAATTTATTTGTGTTTTTAACCAAAGACATACAACACGTTTTGTAATTGAAGACGGCGACAAAAACTTGCTGCTTTGAAAAAAAATGATCATGATTTTCAAACATTAAATATTTTTATTTATTACACATAGTTATTTTCTTGTTAGAGAGGTAGCAATATTAAAACTAAAGGCTGTTATTAGTTACGGTCTAATTATTTTATATATAAATAGTAAAAACATATTAAATAAACTCAATTTTAAAAAGACCTACTTTGATGTGTATTGTTACGTTTAATTTACAAAAAAATTCATCAAATCAATTTATTAGGTATAGATAGTGTCGATCTGTTTTATGTTTCCATTTTTTCCATTATTTTTGTTAACAACATCACAAGAAAATATGGTCTGCGTATGCTAATACTATTCTGTTTAACCCCTTAAAGTAATAACCTAATATGGCACATACACATCACTCCGGAGAATTTATAAGTATAAGATAAAGATATATTTTCTTGTGATTCTTAATAACTTTATATTTATAAAATACAAACATTTAACAAATATCGCTTTTTCCTTTTCTCAAATAATAATTCTCTACAACTTTATTCACCTCCCACTAGTTGCATCTGTAGTTTTATTGTGGTTAATAGTGATGTTGCTTTCATTGTTGTCCGTTTGTTGTCAATTAAAACACAATACACAAACCAAACTACAATATCAAAAACTAAACTACTATAAACAATTAATTAAATTTAGTTATTTTATATTTCTATTCAAAGCACAACAAATATTATGTTTTTGTTGTAAAAAAAATAAATAAACTTTCACTTTCGATGATTACAATTAGAAAATATTAAATAAATTTCAGACAAATGTATGTATGTATGTACAGTGATGCAGCACGTATTCGTGCATTAAAATAGACAACAGTGGCGGCTATATGTACATATATGTAACTAAAGCAATAGTTGTATCAATATTAGGGTATTCAAACGATCTATCGATCGGTTAATCGATAAATTTTTCTCGATTAATCGATCGAATAATTAAAATGTTTAAATTTCAAATGGCAAATAACCAAATAATTACTACCAATTAAAAACTTACTGTTTAACAGTAAAATTGAAGTATGTTTCATACAAATTTTAATATACAATAGCGAGCACAAAAATTGCAACGCGGGGTCATATTATCTTTGATTTCGTCTTTCCATGATTTGTTTAGAACAAAAACTTAGAAGAGCACATTACAATAGTTTGTAAAGAATTTAACAAATATTTCTCAATGAGTACAACAATATTTTGTCGGTTTTAATTTAACTTACCCTGCATTTTCGGCTGCAGCAATTGACATGTGGTGATGGGGCTCATCTGTTAGCTGCAGCGTTAGATAAGCCCGTTTAGTTCCTGTTGACTGTTTATTGATAAACACAAACGATAAACTTTTTTAATTTAACACTTTTTACACAAATTATTTCAACTGAAAAGAGAAAAATACATGTTTGTTTTAAAACTTAAATGGAAAGAAGAATATCAAAAAAATAATTTTTTATACAATAATTCTAGGGCCTAATATCTCAACCTACTGCTGGGTAAAATAATGTTTGTATGAGAACTGTCAAAATATCGTTATGATAAAAAATATGTTATATTTTTTAACATCAGTAGACTTTAACGTTTGCTTTATCTTTTAATGATTTTACTTTGACACGAAATACAGTTTCAACAATTCATGGTTACATGTATGTATATTCAAAATTTCAACGAAAAGCCTACTTAAACGACTTTACCCACTAATTGAATATACAACAGATTTGTTTTGTAAGCATACCTATCAAGTGGTGCGTATGAAATATTTAATACGGGAAAATATGCACTTAAAAATAAATTACATTTGGGCAATTTCGTGTCAAGTGCCCAACTCAAAGAATCGATTTGGGTGAATTTTGCATCATAGTTAGTACTATTGGATAGTAGGTAAGACAGCTCACTATCGTTCAAGAACTGCAGGACCAAAGGAGCTGAAAGTTTGTGTCTGGCCTACTATAGAATAGTACTCACCTTGGTGTAAATTTCATCCAAATCGGAAGATATCGATTTTAAAAGTTGGGTCACTTGACACGAAATTGCCCATATCAATTATAATTATATTTTATATATAATTTATTATAAAAAAATCATGTTGAATTTCATCTTAATTCCGAGAAATTTAATAAATTTTTTCTATGGCGAATAGATTTATCTTTATATGTATAACCGTTGTACTGGGGCGGTATTAAAACTAAAGGTTGTTATTAGTATGATGGCTAGGGTCAAAATAGCTTCGATTACGATGAAAGACAGCAGTATAATTCAGGATTAATTTAAACTTAGTTGTGTTGAGTTTTGTAGAGATATTAGTTTATTTAACATAATTAAGAGCTTAAAATTCCTATTCGGAATGTACGGCTTCATGGACCGATATTACACATTTTCAATAGGTTAGAAAAATTAAAACATATAATATTTAATAAAAATTTTAAAAATATGTAAAATTATGCATTTAAACAATATATGCAAAAATATGCAACAACAAATTAATTCAAATAGAAAAATAGTTACAAGTTATTTTGAGTTACTGACCACAAATATACATTTGCAAAGAAATTCCTGCCCTGATAACCATATATCGGATAAACATAAATAATAGAGTCCGACCGAACTCAAAATTTCGTTCGGTACCGAACACCGAACTTCGGTAAATTTGAAAGTTCGGCCGAACCCGAACTTTGTTCGGTTTTTAAAGTTCGGTGAACACGAAATTTTTTTAAATGAAAAATAATACTTTTTATTTTTGGTTTTTAAACGATTTATTGACAATGATATAATTATCTGTAAGAGCACGCTGAGAAAAAACATGGTTTTATGATTGTAGTCTAACATATTTCGTTATTGTAATAATTTTAAAATATCATGGTTAAATACCGTGAAAATATTTCATCATTTGATATTTTGTATTTATCATAATATTGTTATACATGATATTATGATCCAATGTGATCAAAATTTCGTTTTAAATATGTATCGAAAAACATGGTTGTGATAGCAACATATTATGATTGTAGTCTAACATATTTCGTTATTGTAATAATTTTAAAATATCATGATTAAATACCGTGAAAATATTTCATCATTTGATATTTTGTATTTATCATAATATTGTTATACATGATATTATGATCCAATGTGATCAAAATTTCGTTTTAAATATGTATCGAATCAGTAAAATTAGTTTTTAAAAAAATAAAAAATATATATACAATACTTAACACAATTCGCAAATTTCAATTTGCCAATTTATATGAAAGGTTAGTCCATAAAAAAATTTAAGTATAATTTCATAAAAATACTAGTATTTTTAAGCCTGTTACGAACGTTAGTAATTTTCTAAAGCGAACATTATATGGAGGCCATGTCTAAATGTAAACCGATTTTGTCCATTTTGAATACCAATCAAACTGCAACAATAGTTTAGGTCCTATCGTTCTTTCAAGAGACTGACTGACTGGCAGACATGATTTTCAGCATTTTTAAAACATTTTGATGATATAAAAATATGATAAAAAACATTTTATAAAAAGTTCGGCGTTCGGTCAAAATTTCGCCGAACACCGAACATTGACCGAACCTCACTTTTTACCGAACCCGTACCCGAACGTTCGGTCGGACACTAATAAATATGTATATTTGTTTTGTTCCCTAGCAATGTCGAATTTACAATTAACAAAAATGGTTGAGCGAGATAAATGTTTACGCATAAAATGCAGAAAAATCGAAGCCCGTATTAGAGTCGGTAATCATTTTTAACACGTCACATTTTTTGGTGGTGGGTACTGACGAATATAATAATCTTACTTGTTATTATTTCCTTCTTTATTAAAGAATTTTCGTGTTGAAAAAAACAAAAACAAATAAAATAAGTATGTATGTAGTAGTGGTACACACAAGTATTTTCTCTGGTTAAAATATTGAATGTTTTTATGAAGTTTGCTGACTGTTTGGCTGTGTTTTGTGCTTTTATTATTAAATTCTATTACAAAACGTTGGTTTGAAGTATCTAATAAATATAACCAGTTTCTGTGTAAAAGCGAAGTTTCTTTTTTAAATTTTTTAATCACGTTTTTAGTATTTTTTTTTTATAATTTTATTTCCTATGTTATTTCTGTTGATGTTTGTACATATTTATTTATACATTTTCTTTGTAACATTTTAACAGTGAACTCAGGAGTTGCGTAATTTCTAAAGAATGGGTATTTTTATTTCAAGTTTCTTTTCTTGAACATGAAACGTGTTCGTCATATTTAGTTTTGTGTCTAATTAGGATTTTTGAAAACAGATAAGATACCAGAAATGAAATTATAATTAGGATATAGTGTGAATTAAAATAAATTAAGTACCTAGCAAAATCTTAGTAATGACTTGTACTTATTAAACATCAGAGAGTTAAAGTGCCAATGTATACGTAATGAAATGTAGTTAGTTATATTAGCTTTTTAACTAATTACTTTTCAATTTCAAAAAACACAATAAAAACACGTCTGTTATTTGTTTGTGAATAGGTGTCCTATTTTGGGGACCCCTGTGAATAGGAAATTTTGGAAATTATTTAAAAATGTTTAAAATGTTTGACAATTACAAAATTCATGGAAGTCGTTCCACATCTATATATATAAAAATCAATGTATGTTTGTTTATTTGTAAACCACTGAAGCGATCTTCTTGAAAATTTCAGTGTATGTCCCCCTATATCCCTATATAATTACTTTTCAATTTCAAAAAACACAATAAAAAACACGTCTGTTATTTGTTTGTGAATAGGTGTCCTATTTTGGGGACCCCTGTGAATAGGAAATTTTGGAAATTATTTAAAAATGTTTAAAATGTTTGACAATTACAAAATTCATGGAAGTCGTTCCACATCTATATATATAAAAATCAATGTATGTTTGTTTATTTGTTTGTATCTTATAGGAGGCTAAACCACTGATGCGATCTTCTTGAAAATTTCAGTGTATGTTCCCCTATATCTGGAAGGAACTATTGGCTACTTTTTATTTTTAAATTTCAAAAGTCGAATATCTCGGAACATAGAACAACTAGAGTCCTCAAATTTTTTATGGACAATTTTGGCATTCATATGATTATTTGGTGAAAAAATTGGAAGACTAGCAATAGGGGGCGTGGCACCTACATCTATATATATAACAAGTAAGAGTGTTATATACGGCTATGCCGAATCTTATATACCCACCATCACACCTCGTTTGACTCGAATGAAACTTACTTATGTCGAATTTCATCTATATACTCGTATATTTAGGCCATTTATAAGCGTTAAAGTAATTTTCTGAAGGGGACCTTATATAGGGGGGGAGGGGGGTGGTGTAGGGTCAATTATGGACCGATCCTCATAAAATTTTGCATAGTGATTTTGGATCATAAGGAACTTACTTATGTCGAATTTCTTTGCTATATTTGTATTTTTTAAGCAAGATATGGCTGTTAAAGCTGCTTTTTGAGGGGCCACTTGTATGGGGGCGTTCGAAAACGTGGACCGATATTGCCCATTTTCAATACCAAACAAACCTTAGTTATACAAAATATTTATGTTAAATTTCAACCCTCTAGCTCTTTCCATTCGGACTCTATCGTGCTTTCAACAGACAGACAGACGGACGGACAGACATGGCTAGATCGTCCTAGAATTTAATGAGGACCCAGAATATATATACTTTTGTGGGTCTATGACCAATATTTCGATGTGTTATAAACGGAATGACAAAATCAATATACCCCCCATCTTTTTTGATGGTGGGTATAAAAATGAATGTGTGTTTATATGTTTGTTTGGACATTATAGACAGCTAAACGGCTGGACCTGTAATTTTCACAGTGTCTTCCTGTATGTCTAGAATGAACTATAGGCTACTTTTTACTTAAAAATTTCAAGTGGTCGACGTGCCAAACTGCAAGAGTTGGAGTCCTCAAATTTCGTATGGACAATATTTTTGGATAAAATGGGCGGAATGGCTATAGTGGGCGTGTTGTGTTGGTATGTTGGTACCTCCCATATGAAATAAGTAGAAAAAATCGTATGTATGGGAAACTATTAGAGCAAAAATCCTTTGACATCAATGGGTAATAAATTGGTGGACTAGCATATTGGAAACTCCCAATATGAATAAAAAAATTCATATATCTGAGAAACTATTAGAGGTAGAAAATTGTACATGAAAAACTATGACATTTATGTGAACATTTAGAGAAAAAATCGGCATACATTCAATGGGACCTTGGCATCTCCCATATGATTATTATTATATTATTCAAAATTTTTATAGGTTACATTCACATTTAAATTTACGTTTGGAAAAATTGGCGAACTTGCAAATGTAAAAAATGTATATCTGAAAAACTATTATAGTTAGAATCTTCAAAATC